TCTAGGACAGAATTTTCAAGTAATTTGTGGGTTATAATAATATTTTTCCCTCTCTATTCTTGAAGAAAATTGCACAAATGTATTTTGGAGTGCAGCTTTCTTCCTGTGTTAGTCACGTCAGGATACAGGGAGTGATCTGAACAGACAATGCTGTTAGGGATGCGGATATTTAAATTTAAAGGCATCTTATGTTTGATTAATTTTTAAAAAATCAATCATGTAGTAATGACTGAGAGAAAAATTCAGATTGGTTACTAGAGATAGTTGGTTTATGTTATACAGTATTTGGTATGATATTAACTTTTCCATTTTGCCCCAAACCTAAGGGAATATATCAATTCTAAACATCCAAGTTATTTTAAATAACAAGGAGACATTCATATAACTTAATGTTCAGGAGGTGAATTATTGTTGACATTTTATTACTTTAATATGCTTTGTAGTTTACGTAAGGCATAGATATTGCACATGGCTCAACCTGGGAGAGATTGTCTATAAAGATGACAGACTGGCAAAGAATCATAAAACATGCCTAGACATTTCCTACCATTAGGGGGCACAATGGAAATTCAAAAAGCTTATTTTCCCTCAGAAAAACTGCTATCACAGTGTCTTTGTGACAGAATCCTTTTCAAGCCACTTTGATGAAGAAGTAAAACAATTATATGCTCTTTGCATAACATTTAAATTAATTCATTTTGCTTTAAGAAATATAAAATAATGATATTTAAAATGTGCGATAGCAATCTAATACCGTACAAGGGAACTGTGATTCTTATTTCCCTTAAGTGATTTCTTCAATAAGTGGCACTCAGAGACATGTTCGTAAAAATGTTCCTAATTAATTAGTGAAACAGAAGTAATAAAAATTCGTATTAATTTATGACATGAATATTAGTTTTCAATATAAGAATTCTTTCAGATAGGTGATGAACCCCAAAGAATTGAGAAACATATATTAACAAATGTCAAATGATTCAAAATTAAATTCTCTATACTAATTTTCTTCATTGGAAAAATCATCCATGACCTTTTCATCAAAATTATATTGATACACCATCTGAACTCTAACTGGTGATTTTAAAATGTTCTCTCTTGCCCCATGCCCTTTTAAACTGTAATGTATTGAAACTGTAGAAAGACTATTAGAATTCTCTTTGGGAGAAGGATGCACGTGGATATTTTCACTTGAAAATTAAATGCCCAAGGGGTTGATTTCAGTACGTGGGAAACTTCCCAAATAGAGTGGTTAAGAAAGGCCCCCACAGAGACTCAGCAATCTCTACAAAAAACAACTGGGACAGGACAGAGAAATATCTAACTTGCTGAGTGCCCTCACACATATGCCAAGTAAGGCATGATAAATATATAATTATAGATCTTTGATTGGAGGTGATTTGAATATATGAAAATTAGAAAGAACATAGAAAGAAAAATCTTAAAAATCAAGCTAAATAAAACATATCCTTGGGCTGGGAAGATAGCTCTTTCATAAAATGTCTTTAGTGCAAGAATGATGACACGACTTAGGATCTCCAGAACCCATGTAAAAAGCTAAGAGTGGCAGTAACCCCAGCACTTGTGGGAGACAAGCGGTGGATCCTTGAAACACATTGTCCATTCATTGTAACCAAATTTATGAGCTTAAGGTTCACTGAAAAAAACCTGTCTCAAAAGGTCAATTGCAGAAAGACATCCAGTGTCCACATCAGGCCTCCTCACACACATACACACACACACACACACACACACACACACACACACACACACACACGCACACACACACACATAAACAAACACACCCACACACATTTTTCTGGCTTCCTTGGCTACCAGGTACAAATGTGGTGCAAACTCACACAGACATACAGATACACAGACACAGACAGACAGACACACATATAAACACACACACATACAGAAACACACACACACACCATATACATACACAAATCCTAAAACTGACCCAAATGATACCTTTCATATAGGATTTTAGTAATATTTATAGGAGATGAGTAAATTGCTTTTTATTTTAACAACTTTTACCTGAGATTGGAACTTCTATAGAGTAAAAGAGGCTTAAGATCTATCGTTGATCCTCCTCCTGTGTTGGCCTTCCAGTTTGAGGTTGCAAATATTGAGTGTGTGTGATTGTGGGAGTCCCCAATAATGACAAGATCTGAGCAGTAGATAGACTTCTAAATTTCAACTCTGACTTAGTGCACATTTATTAAGTAATTTATCAAAATAATCAAGAGACATAGCTAAAGCATTAAAATTAGCTACTCCTTTGTTCTCTTCAGTTTTACTATTCTATGTGACCGTTTACAGTTAGACAATTTTCCACCCTTTTTGCAGTCATTTTTTTCAATCCATGACTGGGAAAATGAACTTTAAAAAACCACGTGTATTTATTCAGTTGAGTGTTCAGATAAATTGCGGGTTTAGTTTTATTTCTCTAAGTACATCTTGGGTTTGGGGCTGCTATTGTGATTCCTCTGAACAAACAATATGTCAAACTCCAGTAAGTCCAATTGATTTTTTCTGTTCAATTACAGATTATTTTCTAGATATACAGATAGATAAGTGTTTGCATCCACCCACACTTATGTATGCTATCTTGTACACTGTTACAACACAGACCTTAGAGAGTTAGGTAAATGGAAACCAAATGTTCAATTTCCCGATGTAAGAATAAACATGCTTTGCCATAATCTCTGCAAATTCCAAGCTCTTTTTTTGTTGGTTCTTCCTGTCTGTTGCATTATCTTTATAGATAATTAACTTGGGAAAGTTGATAATGGATTCAAAGTAAATTTTGTGACTTAAATTCTACTTATAATGCATGGTTTGTGACCCACATGTTAACAATTTGCCATATGTAGCACAGAATGTTCCATACTGTCGCACTGCTGACTTTACATACCATTTTGTTTCTCGTATGTAAGAACAAAAAGACACCTTTAGAATCACCACCTGCTATGTTTACCACTCAGATAATTGTCCTTTTATGTCTTCTTTCTATTTAAGGCCCCTCTGTGTAAGAAACTATAATTTAAAAAATCCCTCAAAAGCAGCTTTGTGGTTTTTTTAGTTTTGCAAATTTGTGTAATTATTTACAATGAGAAATAAGTTTTTTTCTGAAGTAAAACCTTCTCCCAATTTTGAAATTTTATTCATTTTTTTTCTGATTTTCTTACAGTATATCTTGATGAGATTTAGATTCCCTCCCCTATCCTCACTACCACTGACCCCCTCCCAATTTAATGTACTCTCATTATAAATATATATACTCTCATAATATGGTTTAGAGAGTCTCTCTTTCTACATATATGGTCTATAGAAAGGAATCATGGGGATGAAGGGGAAGAAGGCCCTCAAGAGAGGGGGAAAGTAGGAGACAAGTGTTATTAAGGAGGGAATGGGGAAAAGGGGGTACTTTAGTTAACTGGGGAGAGAGCAGGGAGGGTTATTCAGAGGGAGTGAGAGGAAAGACAAATAATGCTTAGATGGTGTGAAAAACCAGGAGGAAATATATTAGTCTTACAGAAAAAATATATAATAAATATTTGCATGCATGTGTTTAGCTGAAAGATCTATAACAAAAGCTGAATCTAGACAAGAGAGATGTTCCTTCAAGTTATTGGTGAAGGTAGTTCAAAAGACTCCAGAAATAACATAAGCTATTGCCAGTGCCCTTGATGTTCCCCAGAACTTGAAGATAAGATCTTATTACTGAAGACAGGTTACACTTTATACACAGGATTTGGAGCACTCAAGCTGGAACTGACCTGAAAACCTTCTCCCTGAAGACTAGCTCTCATGGTATCAGAGAATCCTATACAAACTGTCAAGGGAGGAAACCAATCAATGGTCTGACTTAGCTATAAATCCTAAACAGTCTCTCTTTTTATGTTATGAAAATCTATTTCCATAGCATCTATAAGTTAAACTCCCACAAAGTTGTACCCCTGGCCACCTGGTACTCTCTAAATCATTCTTTTCCCTTTCTGTATAGAATTACC